ATACCTAGAAAATCCTAAAGACTCTGCCAAAAGCCTCCAGGAAATAATAAATGACATCAGTAAAGTTTCAGGTTACAAAATCAATGTACAGAAATCAGTAGCATTTCTATATGCCAATAACATTCAAGCTGAAAGCCAAATTAAGAAGGCAATCTCATTTACAATAGCCACACAAAAAATGAAGTACCTAGAAATGTAACAAACCAAGGAGATAAAATATCCATAACACTGCTGAAATAAGTCATAGATGACACAAACAAATGGAAAAACATTCCATGTTCATGAATAGGAAGAATTAGTATCATTAAAATGGACATCCTGCCTAAAGCAATATACAGATGCAAAGCTATTCCTATCAAACTACTGATGTTTTTTACGGAACTAGAAAAAAACTATCCTAAAATTCATATGGAGCCAAAAAAGAGCCTGAATAGCCAAAGCAATACTAAGCAAAAAGAATAAAGCTAGAGGCATCACGTTATTCTACTTCAAACTTTACTGTAAGGCTACAGTAATCAAAACAGCATGATACTGGTACAAAAACAGACCCATGGCCCAGTGAAACAGAATAGAATAGAGAACCTGGAAATAAAGCCACACACTTACAACAATCTGTTGACAAAAATAAACAGTAAGAAAAGGGCTCTCTGTTCAACAAATGGTGCTGGGATAGCTGGCTAGGCATATATAGAAGAATGAAACTGGACCCTTACTTTCCACCATCTACAAAAATCAACACATGATGGAATAAAGATTTAAATGTAAGACCTCAAACTATGAGAATCCTAGAAGAAAACCTAGGAAACACCATTCTAGACATTGGCTTTGGGAAACAATTTATGACTAAGTCCTCAAAAGTAATTTCAAACTAAAACAAAATTGATAAGTGGTACCCAATTAAACAAAAGAACTTTTGAACAGTAAGAGAAACTATTAACAGAATAAACATACAACCTAAAGAAAGAGAGAAAATACTTGCAAACTATGCATCTGACAAAGGTCTAACATCCTGAATCTATAAGGAACTTAATTCAACAAGCAAAAAAAAACAAAAACAAAAACAAAAACAAAAACAAAAACAAATAACATCATTGAAAAATGGGCAAATGATATGAACAGACACTTCTCAAAAGAAGACATAAAAGTGGTAACAAACATATTAAAAATGCTTTATATCACTAATCATCAGAGGTATACAAATCAAAATCACAATGAAATATTATTTCATACCAGTCAGAATGGCTATTATTGAAAAGTCAAGGCCAAGTGCCTTGGCTCATGCCTGTAAGCCCAGCACTTTGGGAGGAAGAGGCAGGAAGGTCACTTGAGCCTGGAAGTTCAAGATCAGCCTGGGCAGTGTGACGAGATTCCATCTTTAAAAAAAAATTGATCAAAATTGACAAAAAAAAAAAAAAAAAAAAAAAAAAAAGCCAAGTGTGGTGGCACATACCTACAGTCCAAGCTACACAGGAGGCTGAGATAAGAAACTTACTTGAGGCCAGGAGGTCAAGGTTGCATGAGCCATGTTCATGCCACTGCACTCAACTTGGGTGACAGAGGGAGATCTATCTCAAAAAATGATCCACAAAGAATAGAGTATGGTAAGGCTGTGGAGAAAAGGGAATGCTTATACATTGTTGGTGGGAATGTAAATTAGTTCAGCCACGGTGCAAAGCAGGAGATTTCTCAAGGAACTTCGAGCAGAACTACCATTTGACCCGGCAATCCCATTACTGAGTATACATCCAAAAGAAAACAATTATTTATACCAAAAAAAAACCATGCACTTATATGTTCGTCACCCCACTATTCACAATAGCAAAGTCATGAAATCAACCTAGGTGCCAATTGATGATGTATTGGATAAGGAAAATGTGGTGCATATATACCATGGAATACTATGCAGCCATAAAAGTTAAAATCATGTCCTTTGCAGCAACATGGATGCAGCTGGAGGCTATTACCCTAAGTGAATTAATGTAGGAACAGAAAACCAAATACGCATTTTCTCCCATATAAGAAGGAGCTAAACATTGGGTATCCATGGATATAAATATGGCAGCAACAGAAACTGGGGACTTTGAGAAGGGGGAGGGCAAGATGGGCAAAATGTTGAAAGAGTAACTACTATGCACAGTACCTGGGTAATGGGATCATTTTTACCCCAAACCTCAGCATCACTCAGTATGTCCAGGTAACAAACTTGCACATGTACCCACTGAATCTAAAATGAAAGTTGAAAAAAACAAGAAAATGATTAGGGTCAGGAAAGGAATAGATAAAACGAGAGCAGAGGGATATAACCTTGATTCCAGCTGGAGATCAGGGATGACTCCTAAGAGGAGAAGAAATTTGAGCAAAGGATTTACACCTGTGGAAATGGACACAGCTTTCCAGGTTGAGTAAACCCAAGGGACAATCGCACATAATTGGAAACACTGATATACAGTGAATGACAAGCAATTCGGTCTGGCCAAAACACCTGGGCTGGGTGAAGGGAGGGCAAGAGGTGTGATCTGTCTATGTTAGATTGTGGGAAACTCTGAGTGAAATTAAGGAAGCTTAAATTTTGGACCTGGTGAATCAGGAGACAGGAAGTTTTTTAGACAGATGAGTAAAATAAAGTAGTGCTTTCAGAAGATCACTTTGATAGGGATCTATAAAACAAATTTAGAGATACAGAAGAGTAGAGGCATCAAAAGCGGTTAAGAGGCTATTACAGTAATCCAGATGATGAATACTGAGTGTGAATTAGGGTGGTGGCAGAGGTAGGTAAAAGAAATATGAATGACCCAATATTGAGGAAGCTCAACAAAGGGAAAGATGATGTTGAAGGATTGGGACTTGAGATGATGGAGATGTTATAACACACATAAGGAACACAGACTGGAGAGATTTCTTTTTTGATTGGTCTAAAGGATGAAAGGTGAGTTTAGTTTGGCATGTATTGAGTTTAAAGCACTGGTGGGAGCACGTAGATGGAAAATTTCAGCAAATAATTGAACATTTGGAAGTGGCACTCGGGACTGATTTCAGAGCTGAAGTTGATAATCATATTTATAGAGGGGCTAATGGAAGCCTTATAAGTGAACGTCTAGTTGTGGGGAAAGATACAGAGGAAAGATTGAAGGGCAAAAGGCTGCTGGAGTTAAATATCTATATTCAGGACAAGGGAAAAGAGAGAGGAGAACAAGGAAGTAGAAACACATCTGTGTATTGTCTCTAGTTAGCCTGAGCACAAACACGAACACACACACACACACACACACACACACACACACACACACATTTAGACAAAAATGCACACATATTAAGATTACTGGTATATTCAATTACACATGGTTGGAAGAAAACCGAAGAGAGTTAGCGTCTCAGTAACCAAGGTGGGGTGAGGGGAGGATGACTGATGGTGTCAAACACAGGTAGAAGAGCAATACATGAAGAGAAGCAGCTGGTTTTGGCATGAAGGTATGTTTACATGGGCACAAGCATATACATGCCTGTAGGTGTATATCTGAGTGTTTTAAGGGGGAAGGTATTATATAGGTAGGGACTAGAAAAGAAATGGGGATGAAGTTTTCAATCGGGTGACAGCAATAAGCAGAATTATCATATATCAGAACAAACGAATATCCAACAAAATGTTTTCTTGATTGTTATTTTGATTCCTTAAACCCTGAACTTGGATTCTGAACCTTGATTTGATTCTGTGTGGTGTATTCAGCTAATCTTGCTTCATTTTAGGCCTCTAGTCTTTGAATAGGTGTGGAATTACTGGGTGACTTGCTTTGCCCGTTCTTTCTCATGTCAGTGAGGGCCTTTTAGTAATTAGTCTCTTGATTATGAAATGCATTTTGAGCAAAAGGCTGGTCAGAATAGTTAGCTTGTTCCAGCATACACTATGCTGAATGGTGGGGATGGCGTTTTGCTATCCATTTGAATTATTCTTTTTAAATAGGATAGACTAGGCTCTGCTTATTTTTCTGGTTCAGGAATCTCCTTATCTAAATATAGTCCAATATACAACTCATATTGAATGTGGAGAGGATTTCATTTGGGACAAGAAACCAAGGCAAAGAATCCTCATTAGCAGCAAATAGGAGAATGAACTTAATTCTTAATAGTGTCTCATCATTTTTCTCCATTATATTCCATTTGATTTCATTTCTCTTTCAGGCTCTCATTTCCTTAAAGTTTAGTTAACATTATACTCTCAGAACCAAATCCCAGTGAGGAATGGTTCAGGGGATGTAACTCCAGTCAATACTTAAATGCCACTCCTCCAAAGACGATGAGACAGGCAGAGGAGATGATTTGGACTATATGCTGGTCATGCGCACTTTATTCCCATAATTATTATTTTTCATTTAATAGTTACTGATTGAGGCACACTCCTCTGTGTCTGCAAGAGTCCTCCCTTCCTCCCATTTTTCCTCCTTCCCCTTCCCATCCCTCCCTCCCCTCACCTTGCCTGCTTTCCTGACTTCCTTCTTTAATTATAAAACAACATGTTAAAGATTCTGGTCCTGAAATCTCATTGCAGTTCAAAAAAAAAAAAAAAAAAAAAAAAAAAAAAACCTAAATTCAAAGAACCTTGATTTTTTTTCCCCTCTTCAGGGACTTTGTCATGAATTCTTAGCTGATTTCCCTTGTGGCATACCCTGGTCACATGATTGTGTGTGTGTGTGTGTGTGTGTGTGTGTGTGTGTGTGTGTGTGTAAGGGATGAAAACAGACTTGTCTTTATGGAACAGGTACAGTTTTTCACAGCCAGCTGGCTAGTAATAGATTTCTTCTATCAAAAGCTACTTTTCTGGATCTTGAACTGATTAGCAGATGCACATTCTACACTGAATGCTGATAAGACCAAACCACACACATTTGTGTATCTGTAGATGGTGTGCACATTCACATACACACACAAGTTTTTAGTAAAATGCACACACATCTGTATTACTGCTATATTCACTTCCATGTCGTTGAAAATCCTTCCTTTTGAAGTTTCAAAAGATAGTCAGGCAGGAGTTATTTTATAGAATGGAAGTAAATTTCTAAGGTGCCAAACATTAGTAAGGAAATTAGAAGTCAAGGACTATCTTCCAAATGAAAAAGAAGCTCCATCAACCATGGAAATTATGGTCACGCTTGCCATCCTGCTCCTTTGGGTATCCAGGTATCCTCTATCAAGAGCACGTGTTTCCCTAGGCCTAAAATGAGACTTTCTTCCATCACCGTAGCCCACTCCATTCTCCAGCATAACTCTTTAGCAGCTTATATTCAATTATAACTGTAGTAATTTGGTTGTGTGGCTATTTCCACCACCTCCTGCCCACCTTGGAAAGGTGTATTTTCAGAAGTTAGGTCCTGGCAGCAGCTTCCTTGGACCCTCTGTGCTCAGAAGTGAGGGCTGATTTAGCAATTTCCTGGCTGGACAGTTCCTGGCTCAAGCCTCTGACTTCGCCTTCCCTGCCCTTCCACTTCCTTCCTCTGGTAAGGCTCTAGCCTCAGATGCAAGGACCCCAGTGGCTACAGAGGCCAGTGAATGAGCAATAAGCCTGCTGCAGAGCCTTAACTTCTCATTCTTGCTTCCTCCAGACCAATTAGCCCTTCTACTGCCCCATAGTGAAAAAAAAAAAAAAATGGTGCACCAGACCTTGGCATTGAAGCCCCTGAGGTATAGATATTAAGTATATATAAAATTTCCTCTTTTAGCATTGTCATGTACTTTTCACAAACATTCATCTCGGGACTTCCCAGAAGACAGACCCACCCCCAATTTTCCTGTCTCTTCTTGTTTCAGTCACTGCTCTCTTACCTTGTCTTCCTTCTCTTCCCAGGATGAAGGGGAGGATTGGGGTCTTGAACAATGAAAGGACAACATGACTGCCAAAAGAATCCATCGTTGACTGTTGGCATATTTTCCATCCTTATCCTGCAGGCTTCCTGTCTGTTGCTGGCCCCTGACCAATTTTGCTCCTGGGAAGTCTGAGATGAAACATGCTTTGTATAAAATGATGCTCAACCTCACTTATCATCAGGAAAATGTGAATCAAAACCACAATAAAATATCACCTCATGTTTGTTAGGATGGCTGTTATCAAGTAAACAAGAAAGAAGTGTTGGTGAGTGTGAGAAGAAAAGAACATATTTGCACACTGTTGGTGGGAATATAAGTTGGTAAAGCCATTATAAAAATAAATATGAAGGACTCTCAAAAAAAAATAAAACTGTCAAATGATCCATCAATCCCTATTCTGGACACATATTCAAAGGAAATAAAATCAGTATTTCAAAGAGATATCTGCACTCCATATTCATTGCATCATTATTTATAATAGCCATGGGAGCAGTTGAAGTGTCCATCAACAAATGAATGGATAAAGAAGTCATGGTACATATATACCATAGAATATTATTCAGACATAAAAAGGAAGGAATTCCTGTCATTTCTGAAGACATTAATGAACCCAGAGGACATCATACTAAGTGAAATAAGCCAGACACAGAAAGGCAAAAACCGCAAGATCTCACTTACATGTGGAATCTAAAAAAGTCAAACTCACAGAAGCAGAGAATAGAATAGTGGTTGTCAGGGTCTTGGGAGAATTGGAAAGATGTTGGTCAAAGGATACAAACTTTAAGTTATAAGATGAGCAAGTCCTGGGTCTCTACTGTACAGGATGGGTGATGATGGATGTGTTAATTAATTTGATTATGGCATTCATTACACAATGTATATGTATATCAAATTATCACGTTGTACACCTTGGATACATTCAATCTTTATCAATTAAATATTTCAAATCGTTTTTTTAAAAGGAAGGCAAAATGGGCCAAAAGGAGAAACTCCTTTGTGTAGAGCTGATGTCCAGGGTGGAATTTCTAAATTTTTTCTGTAACCTAGAGTCTCTTTTATACTTTTGACTTGCCCATTATTCATAACAGATCTCAGGAATGCTCGTCACACTGCCTATTGCTAAAAACTCAAACACGGTATTGTAATATGAACAACCCAAGTTAATGCAGTCGTTAATGAAAGAACAGAGATGTCATTAAAAGAGGTCATTTCTATTTTTCCTTGTAATAGTCAGATCATAGCCAGTCACATCTTTTAGGGAGGATGAAAATAGGCTGGAGTTCCTTCAGCAAACAGGATGCTGTAGAATAAAATATTCTACTTGAGAATAGTTGAAGAAATTGGAATGTCTGGTGCCACCATGTTTATTATGAAGTGTTGAACAGGCTGGTCTTTGGATTAGAGATTGGACTCACTCTCTGTGGCCCTATGGGTAGGGCAGGTTGGGGTGGGCAGGGAGGAAGAGCATCTTAAAGTGACAGATTTAGGCTCAGTGTGAGGAAGGGTTTCTAAGAGTTGGAGCTGCTCAGAGGCGAAATATCAGAAGCGTGCCCTTCAGCAGCAGTGTCTGAAGCCAGGCCACATGGCCAATAGGGAGAAATAAGTGGGCTGGGTGGCCCTCAGTGCTTTTCTTCCAATCCTGGGAGTCTTACTGAAATAGCTAATGAGCGCTCAACCCAAAGAACAGACACACGGTTGCCATGTCTTTCTGGGCTCATCCTGCTTATCACAAGTGAGGGCCAAAGCTGAGACTGATATTCCCTGATATTTCAGGCCCACGGGCAGCTAATTCCCAAATCTTTTCTGAGAAAAACACAGAGGGACTGTTTGCCAGACAGCTGGACCAGAATGAGGAAAAAGAAGATAAGGCCCAACAGAGAAGTCAGAAAAGCTTCACTTTTCATTAGCTCCACATTCCAAAGTGAGAAATCAATGTGCCTAGCTGCAATTCAAAGCAATTAGTCTTTGTTCTCACACATTCTCAAAGAATGACTTAAAGAAGCCCAAATAAATATTTTCAGAAAAGAGAGTAAATTTGTATTACTTAACCCAAGCAATGCAAACAAGTGTAATTAAAGTGAATACCCATAAATAAAGTAAATGCATTACTTAGGAAATGAATTAATTAGTGTTTAATTACTATCAATTACTAAAATCACTGCAGAATTACTTGTAGAATGGATTGAATCTCTGGCTCCTATTAATAATTTCCATTGCTAATTGTATGCACTTGTATTTTCTTTTCTTTGGGTGCATTTTAGCAGAGCTAATAGGAGGAAGCAACAGCACAGTGAACGATGACAGGGACACGTTTTTTTCTTTGTTCAGTAAAAAACCAACAGTCTGCCTGGATGTCAAAAGCCAATGCGGGTGAGGAAGGGACACAGGTAGGAAGGTTTTCCTCGTGACACAGGGTGACCCTAGCCATTCCCTGTGAGGGAAGGCAGCTGATGTTTGTGACAGAGCTCTAAGGTGAGAAGGGTGTGTGTGTGTGTGTGTGTGTGTGTGTGTACGGGAAGGCTCAATGCCTGAGCTCACTTCCAGCATGCTCTGCAGGTCACATATGTAGCCTGGCAGCTGGGCATCTCTACCCACTGGTCTTGCCAGGTGAGAGAATGGATTTGACGTTTACCTGGAGGGCAGAGTATGCCATTTGCTGCCTTGCAGGTGGAGAGAACACATCTGACATCATGCTCCCTAACAGGCAACACACTAGCCAGTGTGAGAAACAGATCCATGCAAACGACAGGCTGAGGGTGAAGAGTACCTTTCCCGGGACCCACTCTGCCTGCTCACCAGCATTCTCATTTTCCTGTTTACGCGCATCTCCTTTTCCCTTCCCTTCCCTCTCCTCCTCTCCCTCATGGACACAGACTCTCAAGCCAGACTTCCCAGGTTTGATTCCAAGCTTCCTCACCTGTAAGACCTTAGGCAAATGACTTATGCTCTGTTAGTCTCAATTTCCTCACCTGTGAAATGGGAAGAATGACAGTACCTACCTCTCGTGGTTCTGCAGAGGGCTCAGATCAGTGGGTGACACATAGCAATCTCTGCTTTATTCATTTTCTTGGTGTTACCACCACATATTTCTCTGAGGTGTAGTTGGGGGGATAGAGATGATATGGAGATGAACTAGCTGGGAGGATAGATGGAGCGATTTGGGAGGGAAATGAAGTTGAAGAGGAGGAATTGGTCCTTAAAGTGGTTGTTTCATTTATTAGTTAGGGTTCTCCAGAGAAATGGCACCCATAGGAGGTTTATTATGAGGGGTTGGCTCACATGATTACGGAGACTGAGAAGTCTCATAATCTGTTATCTGCAAACTGAGGCCCGTGAAAGCCAGTGGTGTAGTTCAGTCAAAGCCTAAAGGCCAGAGAACCAGGAGGGTCACTGTCGGAGGGCAGGATAAGACGGTCACCCCAGCTGAAGGAGAGAGAAAGCAAACTGACCTTGCTTTTGCTTTTCTGTCCTACTCAAGCCCTTCAAGGCATGGATAATGCCCACCCACATTAGTGGGGGCAGATCTTCTTTGCTCAGTTTACTTACTTAAAAGCTAATCTCTTCTGTAAACACGGTCACAGATATACCCAGAGATCATCTTTTTCCACTTATCTTGGCACTCCTTAGCCTAGTCAACACGTAAGGAACATAAAAAAAAAAAAAATACGTAAAAGGAGAGTAAATGGTCTTTGCTAGGGTTTGGGGCTTGGGGAAAATGGAGAGAAGCAGGTTAAAGGGCACATACCTTCAGCTATAAGATGAGTAAATTCTGAGGCTCTAATGTATATGACAGTGACCATAGTTAATAATACAATACTTGTAATCCCAGCTACTCAGGAGGCTGAGGCAGGAGAACTGCCTGAACCCAGGAGGCGGAGGTTGCAGTGAGCCAAGATCGCGCCATTGCACTCCAGCCTGGGTAACAAGAGCGAAACTCCGTCTAAAAAAAAAAATAATAATAATAATAATAATACAATACTATTTACTCGAAATTTGTTAAGCAAGTATCTCCTGTCTTATATGCATGCACGCGCACAGTGCGCACACACACACACACACACACACACACAAGGGTAGCTATGTGTGGTGATGGATGTATTGATTAATTTGATTGTGGTAATAATTATACAGTGTATATGTGTATTAACTCATCATGTTGTACACTTTGAATATATACAAATTTTATGTGTCAAATATACCTCAGTAAAGCTGGACATTTTAAAAACAAGAGAGCCAAGAGAGAGACCAGGAGGAGTGAAAAGAAGTCTGCCATTGCTTGACACCGGTCCTGAATTCATCCTTGCCATCCTGAGGCATCCATTCCTGACTTTCTGGGTAACCATCAGTCTGCTAATTATCCTAGCTTAATCCCAGGATTTTCATTGTAAAAAAGAATAATATAAATGTTTGCCTCTTGGCACTGCTGCTGGGCCTACGACTGGATGTTTTTGAGCCACCCACTGTAGTGCGGGTGCAAAGGTTAGGCTGAATAAATAATAACTGGTATAATTGGCAATAAAATTAAAAAGCTGACACATAACATTAACCACTGCACTCCGTTGGTGTGAAGATAACATGGATTCTTGCATAAGGGCAGGTAACAGAGCATGTCTCTGTCCTGGCCCCCTGTCCTTACTCACCTTGCCCATGCCTTCCTGGGATGCTATTTTTAGGCTCTTCCTTTTCAGAAAGTGTCAGGGCCTAAGGCTGACGGCTCCATGGATTAGATCCTTCCCACAAACTCACCTGCTCTTGACCATCTGGCTGGGCTGTAGTTATTGTTTTCACAGCTGAGCTGTGGTCACTCACCTCTGCTGCCATGGCCTTAGCACTGGTTCAGAATGAGGTTAGCATCCAGGTGAGCACATACAATGACTAAGGAGGAATGCCACCTCTTCAGGTCAACTTAACCTTTACCTATGACTGGCAAACGCAAGGCTGAAGATGTTGGCTGCCTTCGAGAAACTCAGCAGTTTGAGTGCCCCATCATCATTGGACAATTCTGCTGTAGACCAAAAACCAGAGTCACCAACACTGGGAAATACCTTTTAATAGTCTCTTTGTCCCAGATGGCTGCTATGTCACCTTCTGGAGGCACTCAACAGTGATTCCACTGAGGCTGACCTCTTGCCAAGGAAGTGAATGACGCTAATCTTTTGAGTGTCTTCTGTGTTCCACGTTATTTTAGTCCTCATTGTAAGCTCATTCACTTTTTTATTCATTCATTCATTTAATGTTCATGAGGTCCAGACTGCATAACAGTAGAGAAGACTCATTCTCTGCCTCTAAAGGTACAATTGACTAGGTACTAAAATACAGTGTGATATATACCATGAGCTTTTTAGAAGAGAGTAAAGAGACGTAAAAGTTGAGGGAGGCTTCTAGAAGAAAGCAACTCTTGCACAGAGGTTTATGTGTCAATTATAACTCAATAAAGTTGGACCAAAAAGAAAAAAGAAAGCTAAGGGAGAGACCAGGAAGAGTGGATTGAGGTCTGCCATTGTTTGACACCGGTGTTGAATTCATTTTATCATTATGATAAATCTATTCCTCACTTTCTTGGCAACCATCAGCCTGTTAATTATCCTACCTTAATCTCAGGATTCTTGTTTAAAAAAAAGAATAATATAATACTTGCATCACAGCATTGACATGGGGGCTGCAGCAGGAATGTTTTTTAGCTACCCACTGTAGTGCTAAGGGAAAGGAGGACCATGATAAGGAAAGTGACAATCAGAGACAAGTGAATTACAGCCTAAGCTCCCACAGTGCAGGAGCGACTTTTTCCAGTTGAGATTTGAACAAGGGTCTGTGTGAATCTAAGGACATTATTGTTTGACCACATCAAGCTCTCTTTTTTTCTTTCCCATCTCTCCTTGAAGTAAAATCTCCCGTCCTCTTGTGTTTCTTTCTCCTAAGTTTTTCTGCAACCATAAGCACCTGTGGCAAAGGGTGAGGGGGTCCGACTGCCTGTGTTGGACTCCTGACTCTGCATTTATCTGGTGTGTAACTCTGGATGCATTGCTAAACCTTCCTGAATGTAAAATGGAATACCTGCCTCAGAGCTGTGTGAGGATTAAAAGGAAAGAAAAAAAGGAAAGAAAGATACTGTTTGTAGAGAGCTTAGCATAGCGCCTGGTACATAGTAATTATTCAATAGATGATAGATAATATCATTATTGTGGATGCTAAGCTTCATTTTTTTGTCTCCAGTTGATTGTTATTAAGCCAGGCTAATGTGTTGCCTGATGAGGCATTGGCCTAAGTTGTATTTGCATTTCAGATGGAGATACCTGAAGACCAAAATTTATACCGCCCCTAAGAGAGCAGCCATCTTTCTCCCTGTCCTGAGCAGGAACAAAGACTGCACAAACTCTTGCAGCGGGGTGGGTGGCAGGGGATATTTCCAAGCTTTACAGGAAGAAAACGGTGATGCCCATGTATGTGTAAGTGTTTTGCCACCTGTGCAAAGGTCTGCAAGATAGCCCTAGGGGAAGAGTTCCTGAGAAACTAAGCTCAAGTCTGCACCCCTCATCTCCCTTCTGTGCCGACTCAGGAGGAAAATAAGCCTCAGCAGGAAACTCACCCTTTGAAATGTCAGAGTGCACAAGGTAAGGGCAAGGTACCCTAAAGCATCCAAATGGCATCACCTGCCTCAAGAACTTATGCAAGCCCTCATCCTCACACTGGGGAGGCTGAGTTACCTCTGCAGGTGCCCCCCACCCCACAAATGGGAGACAAGCAGCAGTCATTAGTTGTCATTTGCTGAAGTCAGCAACTTAATCCTAACTTAACCAGAGCCTGAATCTCCCCCTTCTCAGGCAAGGGCCTTCCCTGGGAATGATTGAATTTCACAGGGTGCAATAAAACAAAGGGCTTCTGCTGAATCAGGCGCCAGACTCATGGGCCTGTAAATCTCCCCGTTGCTCTTCAGGTCGGGGATGTTATCTCCACCCAGCCATCCCTGTAATGGCGCCTGCTGTTTTCACTACCTC